TCAAATCCATACACCTGAATCCACTACACCAAAAATTACTGCCAGATTAGCTTAGGGAAATGCTCAAGATGACATGTGTTTAGAGAAGGAGCCACATGAATGCTGGAGGCTGAGATCTCTTCTCAATACAAGTGGTGACAATGCTTGGACAAGATTCCCCCCATACACAACCTAAGGAACCTTATAAGAGCAAAACAGAGACAAAAAAAAAGAGAAATTGCGAGTTTTAATCTCTGGTTTGGTCTTATTCTTATCCCTTCCTTCTTAAATGTGCTTCCTGAAGAGGCAGACCAAGTGCTTTTCAGTGTTCAGACCAAGCAGAGCTCCTAAATTCAACATTTTATGCTATACAATGTTTATCAGGCAGCAAAGCAAGTGCCTACTTGCTACTCAACAGCTTACCTAAGGAAAAGAAGCCCATCCAAAACATCCCTGCGCACTGCAGGGTGCGCTATACATTTCAAACTATGGGGCTGAATCAAGTACAAGACCTATGCATAAACTAGATTTCAGAACATCCATGCACTTCAAAATGAACTTGGCTTCAAGCCTCAGGTTCAGGTTGCTAAAGTCTCACTTTAACAGGAAAATACCAGCAATAATTCAGCCCATTTCCTCTGCTGGACACAAAACCCACATGTAGCCCATGTCCATACGGTTAAACCACCCCAGCCATGGGCAAAAAGAGCCCTTCAGTCATGTGACGAGCAAGAAATCAACTTAACTTACAAGGATAAAGAAAAGCAGAAAGTTTATGAAGAGCTGGATGCCTATGAATACTGACCAAACTATCACAGTGCTCACACAAAACAGCTGCTGGATGCTTTCTGCCCACCTCAAGTGAGGATTATTTATCTCTTTATGACCTAGATCTTACCTTTACCACCCAAAATTATTCCTATCAACAGGAAAACCAGCCCAAAGCTGGTGTTATTACAACAAACTAATTTGACTGCTTTGCATGAACATCCCAGCAGTGATCAGGAAGGTCGCAGGAAGTGCTGCTCCTGCCTGTAGAAGCAACGCAATGTACCCAGTTCTGTCCTGGAAGATCCACTGGAATTTTCTGACATTCTTCCCTTCAGTGAACTGCTTTGGGGCTGGAATTATTGTGGAATCAAGGATGTGCTCCTCAGGGCTTCGGAAAGGAAAAGACTCGGTGCCTCTCCTCAAGTCAATCCTCCAAAAGGAACAAATCATCATGGTTCCAGCTCTCTTCATTTTAATTCCACAGGTTTAAATTCCTCTCTCTCACATTACACAAGAGACAGAGAGTTGCCTGTAGTGGGTATTTAAAGTTGTGTCCAAATGGTGTCATCTATTCATGAGAAACCAAGGGGAAGAAGTTTCCAAATTGCCTGGGAACAGAAGGTGTCTATTCAGCCCAAAGAGAATGGGAAAGTTTCTGTTGGGTTCCAGAGCTGTGGTTCAACAAAAGAAGCCCTACATGGAACCAAATCAGACCCAGAGCAGAGATTGAAAACCAACTAGAGCCATACAACAAGATCTGAAGCACAGAGAACAAGTGATGGCAAGCCAGTGCCAAGCACTGAAATCTTAGCCAGGCAACACAGGATTTTGGATAGAAAAGTCATTTCTCCTTTGATTCTCCCCACAGACCTGTGGTGCTTACAGCAAAACAACAAACAAGCCAGCAACAAAGGACCATTCTGCAAAAAGCTGAGCTCTGATATATTCATGTGACAGATTAGTGACCTGCCTTCTAATGCGAACAGCACCAGCTCAGAGGGACAGAATAAATGGGTCCAAGAATTAAACCTGAATGTTCCAAATCAAATTAATCCTCATTAACAGGGATGGGTTTTGTTTTCCACAGAAAGAAATGCAGCTTTCTAGGTTTAAGAGCTTTCTTGGCTCTCTGTGAGAGAATAATCTGGACAATAGTAGTAAAATTTTGCTTTTTAGTAAGAGTTTTTCTTAAAGGCCTGTTTTCAGTGGAAGAAGAGAGTGAAATAAGAATCAGTCAGGTTTTCATCAGCCTAAACAAGCCAGAGGCTTCCAAGCATCAGCCTTTGGCTCTGGTAAAATCAACGAGTTACACAGGAATAAGCAGAACCTTGGAGTATTCTGACAGAAATCCAAGCATGTTAAAACAACAGAGGTAAGAGATCTCAATTTGTTACCCAAAAGCAAACTAAAGCCTCAGGAGCACAGTCTGAGTCTTCCAGATGGATCTAGTCTAGTTTTCTCAGTCCAGAAAACTTCTTCCTATCTGGTTTCCATTCAATAGCAAGACGTTGCACTAAGAAGGATCTGGAAAGACTCCTAGAACTGCCTGCCTGGTTTCTTAAGTTATATCTGTCAAGCAGTAAGAGAGACAGAGAAATAAGGCACAAGACAAAGCAGAAAGCATCCAAAAATCAAGGCAGAAGCATCTTTGTATCGTACTGCTGCATGTTTCTGCTATTCCTTCCTGTAAATGGCTGTGGGAATCAACGGAGTAGAGATTTCCAAGCAAATAGAGGGCCCAGGATTCAATCCCTGCTCCTTGATGCTCTTCCTGTTTGGAACTAACCCACCAGTTACATTCTGCTCCTCTCAGACACTCACTTCTTTTGACTTTTGCCAACTTCTCAGTGTATTTTGTCAAACTGTGCCCTGTAAAAAGAGGGAAATGGGGAAAAATAAAGAGAAAAAGATGAAAAGGGAGGGGGGGAATATGGAGGAAAAGCAGAAGAGGGAAAAAAATAAGGGAAAAAGAAGGACGGGTGGGAAAATGGGGGGAAAAGAAGGGGGGGGGAAGGGATCAGTTTGATTTATTTTATTAGTGCTTTTCTTCAGGGCTTTTAAGTCTTAAATTTGGATTTTTTAAATAAGAAGATCAGCCTATGACAACAGACGTTGCTGCAGATCCTCTTTCACCATGAGAACACAAGGCAGCCATAAACAAGAGCATAATTGTCCTCCTAGAAATTTTCTCTCACAAAGAAAAGCCAAACTAAATAGCAAAGTCAAAGGACCTGCTGAACCCCAGGGAACAGGAGGTGGCCCTTAGGTTAAAGCCCAGGTGAAAGTCACTAGAGATGCTCCACACCAGGAGGAGCTCAAATCTTCTACACATACCTACAGTGCTGCTTCAGTTCTACAGATGTACCTGAGTGCATTTTATAGGATTTCCAGCAAGGGGGGGGCAGAAGTATCATGGAATGGTTTGGGTTGAGAGGGACCTTAAAGCTCCTCCAATTCCAACCCCCTGCCATTGGCAGGGACACCTTCCACCGGAGCAGGTTGCTCCAAGCCCCGTCCAACCTGGCCATTCCCTGAAGACACCCCCCAAACAACCATCTTGACTTACACCATTGTCAAGATATTAACTAATATAAGAATAATAAACTCCAAGGCCAGCAATTTCCATGGGAACTGTCACTGCAGAGCCCAAGTTTCTAAGCTGTAACACATCATAATCAGGATGCGAGTTCTGATATAGCTGGTATGTGGGGTAAAGCAGCTCAGGACAGAGTCAGAAGACAATCAGCATATTTTTCTATGCTCCTACATCCACATTTGGTGTTGTTACACTACAACGTCACTCACTAGCATCAGCTTCACTTACCAGTATTGAGACGGGTTTTTATATGTTGGTATTTGGGATTCTGAGGGATGCGCCTGGTTAAATACTGGTTTACAAAAGAAAATACACAAGGAAGTCAATATACAGCTATTATTTGTTTTAAAGACAAAAAACCTCTCCCATTAACAGGAAAAGCAATCTGAAAAGGTCTAAGAGACAGTAAAAAGAGGAGCAAGACCACAAGCAACCTCTCAGACATCCCCTGCTCTCAGAATCATAGAATCATGGACCGGTTTAGGTTGGAAGAGACCTTAAAGCTCACCCAGCTCCAACCCCTACCTTGGGTAGGGACAACTTCCACTAGCCCATTTCCCTTCCTCTCTCCACCACAGCTCACCCGGCTCTAACCCCATAAACCCCCCCATCCCCACTCACACCTCTGCAAGCTGCCGACACCCCCCCGCCAACCCTCCCGTTACCCCTCACATCCCCTCAGGGCAGGGGCCCGGCCTCCAGCAACCCACCACAGTCCCCGCTGCAAGGGTGCCGGTGAAGGGAAAGCGAGGCTGAAGAGAGGATCCCAGCACCCACCTCAGGATCCCCAACGCTCCTCCTGCTCGACATCGTCCCGCCGGTACCCGCTTACCCAACCGCCCTCCAGATTCTGACGTCCAACCCTTCAACTACGCCCGCTTTGATTGGCCTCGCCTCTCTCCCCGCGGCCAATCAGAAGCCGCAGAAGGGACGCCGAGCGGTTGAGGGGGAGCGGGTTGAGGTAAGCCTCAAGCGTCGCCGGGCAACGGCTTCTAAGCGCTGAGGCGGAGAGATGGGTGGAGCGGCGCATGCGCGGTGCGGGCCGTTGGCCCTGCCCCCGGAGAGCCGTGGCGGCGCGCGCGCGGGGCTCCCCTCACCGCATCGAGGACACGCCCACAGGCGGGCGGGGCCTCCGCGGTGGGCGGGACCTGACACCCCTCCGAGGAGGGGGAGCACGGCAGGGAGGGAGGAGGCGTGGTCTGAGATGAGCACATGACACCTGGGGGGGGGGGGGGGTAGGCTTGTTCGAGGGGCGGGGCCTTGTGGGCTACGGGCGGGGCTTATTCGGGGGCGGGGCTTTGAGCCTTAGACCCTCAAGGGGGCCTCACAGTCCCAGCACCCCAATGGGGTCCGTGTCCCCTTAGACCATCAATGGGGCACGTGTCACCTGTAATAGGGTCCACATTCCCCTCAGACCCTCAATGGGGCCACAGAGCCTCAGCCCTCCCAATGAACCCAACGGGGTCCATGTCCCCCTCAGCCCCTCAATGGGGTGCCTATCCCCTTTTAGACATGCACTGGGGGACCCATGTCCCCCCTCAGGCCCCCTATGCAGCTCCATTCCCCCTCAGACCCCAAATGGGGACCACATCCATCCATTAGACCCCAATTGGGGCCCACACCACCCCTCATACCTTAACCTTGAGACCCTTTGATGTCATGGACCTGTCTCTTGGGGGTTTTGGATTGGGTTATGGGGATACGAGAGTTAATGGGACAGATCCCTATGGAGTGGTGCCTCATTCCCACGGGATGAAGGAGTGGTGGGTGCAGGTGGGGCTGCTGACTATGCCCCTCCTCACCGTGTACCTTCACATCCCGCCCCCTGGGCTATCCCCAGCTCTCCTCTCCTGGAGGTCCTCTGGAGGGTACTTCACATACCGGGACCAGAACATCTTCTATAGAGGTGATGGGGCTGCACCAATACCAGGGACACGTCGTCCATCACAGTGGGGAGAGGGGTGGTGGTTCTGGTACCCTCGGTGCACCCAGGGATGTCCCCAAGGCAAAGTGATGGCAAATGCCTCCCAGACCACAATGGCTTTAAGGGGAGCTGCTGTGTGGATCCAGCTGTGCTGTGGGTCTTCATTATCAGAGCACATAATGGGGTGATCGTGGAATCAACCAGGTTGGAAAAGAGCTTCAAGATCATGAAGCCTGTTCCAATGCCTGAGCACCCTCTGGGGAAGGAATTGTTCCTCAGCTCCATCTAAACCTGCCCTGGTGCAGCTTGAGGCTGTTTCCTCTTGTCCCACCCCTTGTTCCTTGGGAGCAGAGCCCAACCCCTCCTGGCTCCATCCTCCTCTCAGGCAGTTGTAGGGAGCAATAAGGTCCCCCCTGAGCCTTTTCTTCTCCAGACTGAACCCCCCAGGTCCCTCAGCCGTTCCCCATCACACTTGTGCTCCAGGCCCTGCACAAGCTCTGTTCCCAGTGGGAAGGATCCCAAGAGCCTCTGATGGTCACAGCAAGGAAAGGCCTTTTTGCTGGAGCAGTTGTGACCGGTTGTAGCATCTTAGAGGCAGCTGCAGTTGATTTGTGCTAAGTAAATCCCTGTTTGCATCAAGCAGTTGGTACCAGTGGTTCCTCATCTGGTTGGGTTTCCGAAGCTGTGGTGCAAGTCAAACCCACCTTGGTTTTTAAAGGAGCAGTGGGAAAGACAACATCATGATGCTGGTTCGGGTTCTAGTGAATCAAACAGCAAAGTGTGTCTCCTATAGGAGGAAATCGGGGGAAGCTGATGCTGAGGTGCCCCATTCCCTTCCCAGCTCTGACATCATTGTGCTCCTGCATGGATTCCTGACCTCCAGGTACGACTGGTACAAGGTGAGGGCAGCGAGGGCATGTGGGTTGGATGCTGACAGCAACCCCCATGGCTTCTCCCTCCATGGGGATGAGGAGACAGCCTGGGGTGGGTGATGCTGCAGAGGAGGTACCACCGTGCTCCAGGATATCAGCCTTGTTCCTCTCCAATATCTTACACAGGAGCCAAGCTCTATTTGCATCATCCTTTCCCTTTCTCCAGCCCAAAGTGGGAGAAAGGGACTCACAACTGTTTATGGTTGGGGATGATCTTGCTGTTTATTGGGATATTTCAAGCTCCTGCAGTTTTCCTGAAGCTGGAAGGTGCTTTCTGTGACAGTGGAAGGGACCGTGGCCATCCATAGCTGAGCATCACCACAGACGTCCCCTCTTTCTGCTCTCACTGCCAGGGATGGGGCAGCCACAGCTTCTCTGGGCACCCTGTGCCAGTGCCTCAGCACCCTCACAGGGAAGAGCTTCTGCCTAAGAGCTCATCTCAGTCTCCCCTCTGGCAGGTTAAAGCCATTCCCTTTGTTCTGTCCTGTCGTGGTTTAAAACCAGTCAGGCAGCTCATTCACTCCCCCCCCCCCCCTTCTTTCCGTCCTTCTTTCCTTCCCCCCACCCCTCCCCGCTCCCGGGGCGATGGGGAGGAGAATCGAGAGAATGTAACTCCCAGGGGTTGAGATAAGAACAGTCCAGTAACTAAGGTATAACGCAAATCACTGCTGCTACCACCAATGATAATAATGATAAGAGAAAATAACAAGGGAAGAGAATACGATACCACCCGCCGAAACAAGTTCGACCCCAAAAGAGAGTCCCGTGCCCTTCCCGGTAACTCCCAGTTACCTCCCTGGGCATGACGTGCTGTGGTATGGAATACCTCTTTGGCCAGCTTGGGTCAGGTGTCCTGTCTCTGCTTCCTCCCGGCCTCCCCTCCTCCCTGGCAGAGCATGAGGCTCACAAAGTCCTTGGTCAGAGTAAACATGACTTAGCAACAACTAAAACCATCGGTGTTATCAGCTCTATTCCCAGGCTGAAAGTCAAAACACAGCGCTGCACCAGCTAGTAAGAAGGAGAAAAAAACTGACTGCTACTGCTGAACCCAGGACATGTATGTCCCTACAGGCCCTTGTCCAAAGCCCCTCTCCAGCTTTCCTGCAGCCCCTTTAGGCACTGGAGCTGCTCTAAGGTCTCCCCTTCAGGAGCCTTCTCTTCTCCAGGCTGAACCAGCCCAGTTCTCTCAGCTTATGGGGAACTGGGAGGAAAGCCCCCTAAGGTAGCAGGATTTGCCCATCTTCATGATACTGAGCAGCACTGTCTCCTTTTTCCCTTGTGCCCAAGATCCTCAAGGATGGGGGGCTGCTGTCCCCCATCATCACGTGCCTGATGAACTTCTTTGTCTTCTCCAGAGGGTGAGTTGGTCACAGCCCATACAGGGGGTATGAGCAACATGGGGAGGGGGCCACATAGGAATTGGAGTAGTGGGTGTTTGGCACATGAGCAGATCCCCCAGTGCTGTCCCAGGAGGAATTTGCCCCTGGATTTAAGTGACTTTGATCCTGCAGGCCATTCTCTCTCCAGGTTGGCACCTATTAATGACACAGATTTCACGGTATGCTGAAATCCTCTGTCCTCTGGGTACTGAGCTTGTGCACATTCCAGAGGCCATGAAATCCCAAACCACAGCACATACAGTGCCCAATCCCTCTATATTTTTATCAGATGTTTCAAACCACCTTTCCCCCCCCCAAAAAAAAAAGCCTGCAAAATCCAACTCTGGGTGCATTCGGGGGTCCATTTGCATTGCTGTACTTCCCCGTTTTCCCCAGTGGATGTATTCAGGTTTTCAGGGCTAGTTCTTGATCCATACACTAACAGATCTACTGCTTTGCTGCTCTGAACTCCCTCTTGTCCAGGCTCGGGGCAGTCTTTGGGCCCTACACACAGCCTTCACAGGCAGAGTACTGGGATATGTGGATGGCTGTGCAGACCAACAACGGGAATGTCCTCGTTGACAGCTACATCCCCATTACTTCCTGCATAAGCTTTGGTTTATGCCTCTGGTGTCCCTCTGTCTGCAGGCAGAGCCATGGGAGTGGCCTGGAAGGTAACCAGAATGCAGCCCAGTCCCTGGATCCTGGCTCTCCAGAGCTTCCAGCTGCTTCTGTTGGGATCTGGGATCATCCCCGCACCCCAAAAGAGCGTTGGGGTGTGATGTAGGAGCAGGGATTCCTGCCAGGGTGATGCAAGGCAGGTGCCTAAGTTTGGAGTCAGGAGGATCTGAGCATGGTGTGAGAAGGACAATGCTGGAGATGTACAACATGGGGTTTAGTTTGCTTCTTTGGAGCTCAGCGGCTTCAATTTATAGGCTTTTGTTAACAACTGGAGCTAAACCTGGTTCTCTCCAGTTCAGGGCCTCTGGAAGGATTTTGGGCTGGTGGGTGTGAGCTGAGTATCCGCATCTGGTGGGGTTTGTAAGCATCCTTCTCCCCCAGCGTGGAAACTCCTCTCTGCTCCCAGTGGGAACAACCTCCAGGCAAAGCACACCACAGAGCTCAGCCTCTCCAGTGGGTGCTCAACTGTCAGACCAGACAGACAGTATTTGGGAGCCTGTGTCAGCAGAGCTGCTCCACCAACACAGCCAAGACCTGAGATCCTGCTTTTCCTCACCTTCAACTTGCAGATGGAAGCAAGTTACTCCCCCCAGGGAGCCAGGAGGATCCACACTGCCTCCCCCTCTTAGGAACAACCCTTCCCATGGCAGCAGATCCAGGAGGGCACGGGCAAGCCCTTAGAGGACCCACTGGCTGCAGAGAAGTTTTCTCAGGTCACACTTTCAAGGTCTCCAATAAGAATTTAATTCAACAACCCAGTTACTGCATAGTAAATCCCCTGCGTACTAGGTACATGTCTTGATTGCTGCTAAACCTCAGCAAACGACTCTTAATCATCCATTGGCAATGAATTATCAAACTATTTTCACAGCTAAATTGAGGAAGTGTGGTCTGGATGATCAGGTAGTGAGGTGGACTGTGAACTGGCTGAAGGAGAGAAGCCAGAGAGTTGTAGTCTATGGGGCAGAGTCTAGTTGGAGGCCTGTAACTAGTGGAGTGCCTCAAGGGTCAGTACTGGGACCAGTATTATTTAATATATTCATCAACGATTTAGATGAGGGAATTGAGTGTACTATTACCTAGTTTGCTGATGACGCTAAGCTGGGAGGAGTGGCTGATACGCCAGAAGGCTGTGCTGCCATCCAGCGAGACCTGGATAGGCTGGAGAGTTGGGCAGGGAATAACTTGATGAAATATAACAAGGGAAAGTGTAGAGTCCTGCATCTGGGCAGGAACAACCCCAGGTTCCAGTACAGGTTGGGAAACGACCTGTTAGAGAGCAGTGTAGGGGAGAGGGACCTGGGGGTCCTAGTGGACGACAGGATGACCATGAGCCAACACTGTGCCCTTGTGGCCAAGAAGGCCAGTGGCATCCTGGGGTGTATTAGAAGGGGGGTGGTTAGTAGGTCGAGAGAGGTCCTCCTTCCCCTCTACTCTGCCCTGGTGAGACCCCATCTGGAATATTGTGTCCAGTTCTGGGCCCCTCAGTTCAAGAAGGACAGGGACCTGCTGGAGAGAGTCCAGCGAAGGGCAACGAAGATGATTAAGGGAGTGGAGCATCTCCCTTATGAGGAAAGACTGAGGGAGCTGGGTCTCTATAGTTTGGAGGAGACTGAGGGGTGACCTTATTAGTGTATATAACTATATAAAGGGGGAGTGTCACGAGCATGAAGCCAGGCTCTACTCGGTGGCAAACAGTGATAGGACAAGGGGTAATGGGTACAAACTGGAACACAAGAGGTTCCACTTAAACTTGAGAAGAAACTTCTTCTCAGTGAGGGTGACGGAACATTGGAACAGGCTGCCCAGATGGGAGGTTGTGGAGTCTCCATCTTTGGAGACATTCAAAACCCGCCTGGACACATTCCTGTGTAACATTATGTAGGTGTTCCTGCTCCGGAAGCGGGACTGGACGAGATGATCTTTTGAGGTCTCTTCCAATCTCTAGCATACTGTGTGTAAACTAGAACTAATTGCAACAGATAGGTAGCCGCTTAGATTGAAGTCAGTTGTTTTACGTTAATTAAATATAGAGGTCCGTGAATTACACAAACATGCTCTAACCAACATACAGGCAGAGACGAGCAGTGGGGGGGGAAACGAGTTATTATTTATTGGCCCAAGAAAGCAGCCACAACAAGTGCAGGCTGCAGCATGACATCCTCAGCACAGCTCCCTTGGGCCTGGCGCTGGCAGCAGGGCGCTACTCCTCCACACGTGGAGTGAGGCATGAGCAAGTGAAAGCCTTGCGCAGAGCCCTCAGCACTCTCCTGAAGCGGGAGAGTCGTCGCCGTGGGGCCGCTCCTTGGTCTGGAAGAGTGGCAATGCCTGTGGAGGAAGAAGAGCTGTAGGCAAGGGACTTCCTTTGGCAACCCGTTCCAGTGCCTCACCACCCTTACAGTAAAGAACTTATCCTTAACAGCATCCTCATTGGCCTCCTTCAGATACTGGAAGGTCTGCTAGGAGGTCTCCACGCAGCCTTCGGCCCATGGAGGGGAGGCTGGGACACACCCGAACTCACGCAAACACTGCTGACGGTCTGGCCTGGGTGCCACCCAACTCGGGCAAGTACCTGGCTGGTTCTCGCTGTCCTGAACTACAGCAGGCGACGTTGACGGTGACTCCACATCCAAGCTTTGTGCCACATCTGGCTCTTTCACCTGCTGCTGCCTTGTTCCCTGGATGACAGTCACAGCCTTGCCCAGGCTGAGCAGGGCAGGTACCTGCCTCTGTGCCTGTGGTGCTGCCTCCTGCTCGACGCAGGCAGGAGAAACTGGTGCCGGTTCCACCTCCTCCTGTGCCACTGGAGTGAGACGTGCGCGGTGCTCCTCTTCCTCCGCAGATGCAGCTAATGTAGAAGCTGTCGACTCAGTGGCTGTGGGTCCGGCTGGGATAGGAGACGTGTTCTGCAGGTCTCCACCTGCCTCCCCTGTCACTTCAATGTCCATGCTGCTGGGGAAGTCAGACCCCTCCTGGATATCGGCCTGGGGGTCCTGGAAGAGCTCTGGGACCGAGGGGTTGACCCAGAGGTTGCGTATGATGATCTCTTCCACTTGGGACAGCACTTTATCAATGTCCTCTACCCACTCTTTCTCCTCTTTGTCCACTGCCGCATCCAGCATTTGGGTCATGCCCTGAGGTTCCAGCAGCTGCTGGCTGGTTTCCTGATCCACTGCCACAGCCTGGACCAGAGGCTCCCTTGTGCTGAGCAGGGCTGCTCCCTGTGGAACCAACTCACAGGCATCTGGGCTGAGCAGGACAGATGCCTGACTCTCTGCCTCTGGTGCTGCCTCCGGTGCTGCCTCCTCATCACCATTGTGAGAAGAATCTGTTTCCTCTGCCTCCTCCTCGATCATATTCCAGAACTGGGAGCTTGCACCGACACTGGGTGTGACACGCACTTTTGCATCTCTTACTATGATGCTGTCGGAGGCAGGTGCATTGCACTGTGCTTCTGCTGCCAGAGCTTGACTGTCAAAGCCACAAGAGGCTGCGGTCTCTGCCTCCTCCTCAACAGCATCTCTGAAATGGACCTTCCTGAGGATGCTCTTGGGTGTGACCTTCATATCCATGTTGCTTTCTTTGTGGCTGTGCGGGGCAGGTGCCCGGCCCTGTGCTCGTCCTGCTGCAGCCTGCCTGCCGATGGCGGGAGAGGCTGGTGCCTCTATCACCTCGACACCAGCTCTGAAAGGAAGCTTCTTGACGCACCTGGATGGGAAATTCAGATCTGCGTCATTTTCTGCTGAGCTGTTCATGGCAGGTGCCTGGCGCTGGGCTTGTGCTGCAGCAGCCTGCCTGCTAAAGCCACGAGATGCTGGTGCTGGTGCCATGGGAACGAGAGGTGCCTGGTACTCCTCTTCCTCAGGAGCTCTGGCCAAGCGGCTCCTCCTGGCGTGTTGCAAAGCCTCGATGTTGCTGCGCAGGGCGGGCAGAGGCTTTGCAAGAACCTTCTTGTGCAGCCCCAGCAACTTGTCATTGAGGCTGCCCTCTCGCCCCGTCTTCCTGCTCTGGGAAGCAGCAGTGCTCGCACGGGTGTTAGGATCAGGAGCAGGCTGAGTGGCGGTGGCTTTGCTGCCGTTAGGTGCCCTGACAGTGTATCTTCTTGTCATTGCAGCCCTGCTGTATGCTGGGTCCTGGCATGCCACTGCCTGCTGGTAGGGTCCCCGGCTCTCAGCGCTGTTGTTGCGCAGGACCACGCTCACATTTCTTGTGCCCTGCGCTGTGGCACAGGCTGTGGCACAGGCTGTGTGGGGCAGGCTGCCAGCTCCGTGGCCTCGCAACAGTGCTGCCATGTGCGGGGATGTGGTGCTGCTGGGCAGCGGTTGTGAAAAGCTGCTTTTGGCTGTTGCTTGTCCTGCCGATGGCCATGTCAGTGAATCTGGCTGCAGGGGCAGAGGGTGCCCATGTCGGGCGAGGCAGCCTGCTGGCTTCTCTCACTGGCCGAGGTGGCGGCCGAGGTGTCCTTTCCACCACCACTGGCCGAGGAAGTGTCTGCTCCTCTGTCCTCATGCTGCGGGGCAGCACCGCTCTGCACCTCACGCTGCCCACCTGCAAGAGAAGTCGAGGAGAGAGGCTCTGTGATAGTCTCTTGTGCCACGTTCTGTACGTGGGACTGTAGTGGGGGAGGGGGTGTATTTGTGCCCTCCTGCCTACAGGTCCATGGTGACTGCCTGCAAAGTTTGTCAAGCCTTGCCATGAGCTGGACAGACGAATGGATAAACCTGATGCCTCAGCTACAGGAGCTGACCGTGAATACCCCAAGCAGACTGAGATAAACGGTTATCAGTTCTTCAGAAGCAGACAGGTCAAAGTTAAATGTAACATCATTACTCTCTCTCTCTCCCCCCCTCTCTTTTTTTTTTTTTTTTTTAGTCCCTGCAAAAGCCATCATTACTCCCACTACAGTCCCACGTACAGAACGTGGCACAAGGACCCTGTGGAGACTAACAGCAAACCAGCTCCGAGAAGCATCACTGCAGTGCGAGGTGGCAGGCTCAACCTTAGCGGGCATCCCCGCAGAGGCTCTGCCTCCCCCACATCGCATGAGGCTTGGGCTTTTATACTGACCAAAATGCACACTCATTCCGACACAGGTGGCCAGCCTGTGCTGGAAGAAGTGGCCAGCAGTACCTACAGAGGTCTCCAAGAGCTGATAGAAACCTGGACATACTTATATTTACCAACTTCTAGTACATGAGTATCACAGAGAAACTGTATGGGCTCTCCCTGTCAGCTGCAAGAAAAAATCATAACATATACAGCTTGAGTATAAGAGGATTTTAACGCATACGCGGTCACTGTTTATCAGGCCTCCTTAACTATTTTGAGATCAAGAGCTTCCCACCCTTTAGCCCCCTGCTGTGTAGTAAACACACGATATGCAAAGATGCCCATTGCAGAAAATTCCCCAGTAATGATCAAATATTTGGTTACCCATTGTTACAGCTGAGCGTCTCCAGGGCCAGTAAGTCTGAGCAGACCTACCCGGGAGACGAAGAGTCAGGGTCTGGAAGCAGAGGATATAAATCTGGCTCGGATTCAGGGGATTCGGGGGCTGATCCTGCGCCGAACTCGGGGTCTCCGTTGCTCGCAGCTGTGTCTTTCTTATCAGGTGTATCTCGTTCGGTATGTAGCCATCTGCAGACCTGGCTCCTCCGTGACTGAGTTACAATTTTTTTTTCACTCTAGGGCGTAGTGGGTTGGAGAGGCTCGCGGTTCCTTTAAATCTCCCGCTCGCGCATGATCCCTATTTTCTACTGCGTGCTTCACAGTGGCGCCGCAATCGATCCGGCGCCGAGGCACCGCCCTCTTTCTTTCGGATTTCTCGACATTTATCATGCGTATACCTTCTAATATACTTTCTCTGTCCTTTTCAAAGTCCCTACTTTCGGAACTGGGGTGGTGGGGGAGCAGGGGGTTACACCTCCTCCGCGGCACCTTCTGATGGAGGGGGAGAAAAGGAAGGGGGGGGTGCGGGGTGGGGGGGGTGCGGGGTGGGGGGGTTGGGAAACCCTGTGCTCCCGCGAGTTGGGGGGGGGGGGAACGAGTTGTAATCTTCCCCCGGTTTCAACCGACCGGGGACGTCTGTTCCTAGTTTCTCCGTTGCTACCGCGGCAGTTTTCTTTTCTGCCTTGTATCTTTTTATACAGTTCATTACTTCCCTCCGTGGTTTACCGAGTTTCTTTGCCTTTTTATAATCATTAAGCACTGAGTCAAATAGTTCATCACCAAACTTTCGCCACTCACTCTCCTCAAATATTGTATTAGGATCTGCAAAAAAAATCTCTTAGCCTTCCCTAGCCACTAGACCTGCTAGCTGCTTTAGAGTCTCAGGCTCAATTCCCCGCTTTTATAAAAAGCACTGTAAAAAGTTCAGGGCTCAGTTCCCCGCTTTTATAAGAAGCACTGTAATAAGTCCAGGGCTACCTCTCGGTCCATTTTCATGGCCAGCCTTTTCCGGATCGTCTTCTTCTGGGTCGTCCTGTAACCTCGGTCTCCGGATCGGCCTCCCGACGCAGCAGTGTCTGGTACGCCCCAGCGGCGGATTCTTTCGGTTAGTCCAAGCACCCGGGTCCGTCACGCCACCGCAGCAGCATTGCCCGCGCTTCCCGGCCGCTGCCGCCGGCGCCGCTCACTCGCCGTTCCGGGTCCCCGTCGATCGGGGCCCTGTATCCCGGGTCCCCGCTAGTCGGGGCCCTGTATTCCGGGTCCCCGCTAGTCGGGGCCCTGTATCCCGGGTCCCCGTCGACCGGGGCCCTGTATTCCGGGTCCCCGCTAGTCGGGGCCCTCTATCCCGGGTCCCCGTCGGCCGGGGCCCCGTCGACCGGGGCCCTGTATCCCGGGTCCCTGCTAGCCGGGGCCGTGTATCCCGGGTCCCCGTCGGCCGGGGCCCTGTATCCGGGTCCCCGTCGGCCGGGGCCCTGTATCCCGGGTCCCCGTCGGCCGGGGCCCTGTATTCCGGGTCCCCGCTAGTCGGAGCCCTGTAATCCGGGTCCCCAGCGACCAGGGCCCTGTAGTCCGCGTCCCTGTTCGGGCGCCATTTGTAAGCGGCGAGGAGAAGCAGACAGGCCAACCCAATATGGGTGATAAGCAACTTCTACTTTATTTGTGACGCAGCTCACACATATATAGGAGTGGTATTCAGCCACTCCTTCTTGGCATAACAGTATTGGTTAGCCCCCACAGCTTCCTCCACATTCTCCTCCCAGGTCCGGTCTCCGGCCACCTGTGGGGGCCACCCCCTGCCTTGCTTGCACAGTCCTCCAGAACTCTATGGTCCTGCTCTATCTAACCCCCTAGTGCCATCTGCTGGCAATGGAACCCCCCCCACCTCCCCAGTTTGCTGCCAAAACCCATCAACTGTCCCCTCAAACAGTCTTCACAGCACCCACAGGTACTTCCAGCCCCTCCTATGTGCCTTCTGCTGGCAAAATAGCCAGGACCGGGTGTTAAAGCTGGGTCAAGATCATTTTTAGGGCATTTGGAGCCCTTTTAGGAGTCAGCAAGTTTAAAGCTGGGTTTAAACAGTTCAAGATCATTTTTAGGGCATTTGGAGCCCTTTTAGGAGTCAGCAACATTTCCCCTCCCCAAAGAGCCCAGGGCGGTCGCTGGCACTGGAAATGTGGTAAATTTAATACTGATACAGGAGAGTTTTCCTTTACACAGCAAAAAAAGGCACCCATGGAGGTCACTGGGATAGAGGGAACACCAGGAGCCTACTGGGGTTTGATAAAGATGATTTGGGGGGTAATGGACAAATAGAAAACACCAGCAGGGACTGGAGCCCTCCTACCTCAGCACTTGTCTGGGTTTAGTGTAAACTGGGGGAGGTTTAGTTAAAAACATAAAAAAAAGCTTTGCTCAGGGGGTGGGTGCACCCCGAGAGCACCTGGTTTGGGTCCTGGTTTAGGCATCATGGCTCAGGGAGCACCCCAAAGTGACTCCCCACCTCCCCTGGTCAGGGCCCACCAGCCCACCAACCCTGTGGTATAGGTCTGGTGCAGCTCTCTGGGGAGCTGGAAGGCACTTTTGGACCCCTGAAGGAATGAGGGGTGTACCCAGAGAAACGGGCGCACCCCAGGGTGCTGCTACACCCCGTGAGCAGGGATCAGCTCATCCCACTCAGCTGCAGCACCATGGCTTGGTGTATTACAAAACTATTGGCACACGTGTGTGGAAGCTCTACGTACCATCTACTCACAGTGGGGGAGAGAGTGAGGGGTGGCAGCAGGTCCCAGCACCCCAAGGTGTGGCATGCAGCTCCCCAAAATCCACCCTGAGCTGCGCTCACCCGCTGCCTGGTACCACTGTCCTGGGGGGCAAAGGCAGTGTCCCCCTTCTCCATATATCCCTGCAGGACCTGGACGGGGTTTGTTCCACCAACATGCAGTTTCTCTTCTCACAGTGATGCCGTGGGGATACCCCAAAACCTTACTTTTGGCATCTCGCTGGGCTGGGATGTGAATTGAGTCTGCCTGGGGAGTGACACAGTCCTCCAAGGGTGGAAATCAGCAGTGGCCAGGCTGGAGGGATGCTCAGGACCGAGCTCAGTGGGTCAGGATGGGCTTCCAAGTCTCCTCACAAGCTGCTGGCACTGGATGAGGCTTCAGGGCCACCCCCATCTGCTCACAACATCCCACCAAGCTCAAAAGTCCGAATCAGCATCCAGCAGCTCTGCATCCACCAGGTTGGTCCGGGAGTGGATGGGGCCCAAGGCGGCCCGACGGCCCTGAGTCCTCATCCCCCCAGCACGGGGGTCTGGCCTGGGGAGCCACAGCGGAGCCCCGTTGTGCTGCTGGTGCCCGGTGCTGGGGCTGGGCCTCTCCTCCTCCGGGGAGCCGCCCTCGGGGCAGAAGGGGTTGCTGATGAGGTGCAGGACCTTGGCTCTGCAGCGGTTGTCCCATGGTCGCCCGGCGAAGGTGGCTTCAGGTGGGAGCCCCGGAAGCATGTCGGGGGCAAAAGTGACCAGGCAGGGCTGGGGTGGCAGCCGGGGCAGGTGGGGGACGGTGCTGGGTGCTAAGGGGGCTGCGGAACCCCCTAGGCAGCGCTCGGGGTCTGGGCTCACCCCCTTCTTCTTCTTCTTCCTCCTCTTCTTCCTGCGGCCACTGCGCTTCTGCAGCTCGGGGGAGACGTCGGCTTCAACCACCCAGAGGTTGGCTCTCTCCTCTGGTGGCACTGTGGGATGTGGAATGGGGTGAGAGTGGCCACATGCTGCCCTGTGTCCCCCCAGCACCTCCCAGCCCTCCTCATCCCTCCCCCCCAACATGGTCCCCAAGGACTTGCCAGGTGTTGCCACGGGTGTCACGGAGATGTCCTGGGGCAGGATGGCTCCCCTCCTGGCCACCATCTTGGTGACGTGCTGGGCCCACGCTGAGGACACGTCACCTGATGGCTCGTTGATGTCAAATGCTAAACCGGCTGCAAGGACAACAGAGAGCCTGGTCAATGGGGGATAACGGGGCCACCAGGGAGCTGCTGAGATGTGCCCCTCCCACACAGAATTGTGGAATAGTTTGGGTTGGGAGGGACCTTAAAGCTCCTCCAGTTCCAACCCCTGCCACGGGCAGGGACACCTTCCACTAGAGCAGCTTGCTCCAAGCCCCTATGTCCAACCTGGCCTTGAACACTGCCAGGGATGGGGCAGCCACAGCTTCTCTGGGCACCCTGTGCCAGCGCCTCAGCACCCTCACAGGGAAGAGCTTCTGCCTAAGAGCTCATCTCAATCTCCCCTGTTTCAGTTTGAACCCCTCACCCCTTGTCCTATCACTCCAGTCCCTGATGAAGGGTCCCTCTCCAGCATCCTTGTAGCCCCCTTCAGACACTGGAAGCTGCTCTGAGGTCTCCACGTGGTTTCTCTTCTCCAGGCTGAACAGCCCCAGTGTTCTCAGCCTGTCTCCATATGGGAGCTGCTTCAGCCCCAATCATCCTCGTGGCCTCCTCTGGACTTGCTCCAACAGCTCTGTGTCCTTCTGATGTTGAGGACACCAGAACTGCACACAGTGCTGCAGGTGGGGTCTCGCAGAGCAGAGGGGCAGGATCTCCCCAGACCTGCTCCCAGGACCTCCCTGGACCTTCTGCTTACACTCCTTCTGATGCAGCCCAGCACACATACCCACAGGGCCATCGTGTGTCACGGTGTGCATGCTGAAGGATAGCTCCTGGCCTGGGTCACGCAACAGCTCCTTGCGCTTGGAGAAGGCCTTTGCGATCATCTTGCTCTTCTTGATCCTCTTGGGTTGGTCATCGCTCTGCCCCGTCAGCCTGGGGACACAGCAGGTCACAGCAGAGATATGGGGTGGCCCAGGCACAAGAGACCCTCCCCATCTCCCTCTGGACAGGGACACTAAGTGATAGGACTGAGCTGGATGGGTCCCCTGCAGATGGAGGTGTCCCACAAGGAGGACATGAGATGCCTGCAGAGTGAGAGAGGCCACCCCGTTCCTACACTGCCACCTACTGTGAGCCCACAACTCATTGAGGGACAAAAGCCCGGGGACAAGCTCCAGCGTCTCAGGATGCTGGATGGGGCAGGACGGGCTGACATCCTTGGGGTCCTACCTGCACCATGTGCGCCTCCAGATGAGCAGCGTGGCCTTGGTCCAGACCCATGTGCTCATGGAGATGCCAGTGCCGAACATGGCAAAGAGGTTGATCTTCTCCACCAGCAGGCTCGGCCGGTTCTTGATCTCACAGTCAGGGATGGGCTTGTTGGTCTGCGTGGCGATGGTCACGTTGGCCTCACACCTGCGGGGACAGACGGGGGACGCTGGCCATAAGGAGGGGACACCCAGTGACACACCTCTGCAAAGTGAGATGTGGTGGGAATGCTGGTGGGGGACATGGGACTCCTCCACTTCTCCATGTCCACCACTAAATTCAACGTCCTAGGATCCCACTTGCCCTCCTGTTCCCGTCCACATCCCCATCCCCGTCCTTGTCCCTGTCCCACTCACAGCACATATTCCCGAAAGCTGCGTTCCCACTCCGCCTGGTTGAAGAAGTCATAGAAGTGACAACCAAAAGTGATGAAGACAAAGCCAAAGGCCAAGAAGCCAAAGATGCCTGGAAGAGAAGTGGGACATCCCCAGTTTAGCTGGACCCCAGTGACAACAGGAGCCATGATCCATCACTACAGCTTCATCCCCCACTGCAGGCACCCCCAGGATGTGGGATGGGACCATTGGGGTTTCCAGGGAGCACGATGTCCCCTTTCCCACTCAAATCCCCATGGAAACAGTGCCTGTGGAGCAGCACTCACCCAGGCGCAGCATGGTCTCATTGATCTTGCTGGCTGCCTTCTCGCTGAGCAGCCCAGGGTGGTTGCTCTTGATGGAGAAGAGCGTCATGACCCCTGTGGGGGAGGGATGAGGTGGTCAGGGCTGGGGGACACCCACAGTCATCCCATCCCCATGGCAGGGTGAGCCCAAACCTACCCTGGATGAGGAAGTAGCCACCCACAACAAGGACAAGCCCAATGGGCGCCAGGACAAAGCCGGCCCGGTACCGGTAGTTCTTGTACCCCACAAAGCAGATGCCACTGACAGAGTCACCATCCACCTGGGGAGATGGGGACAAAAGGAGTGAGGTGGCTGTGGCCACCTCTCCCTGTGCATGTCACCACCAGGATACAGGATCGCAGTGCCGGTACCTGTGCCACAGCCAGGATGGCCACGGTGAGGACGAAGGGGATGGACCAGGTGATGAGGTGGAAGTAGGAGGTCTTGCCCACCAGCGGCTGGTAGGTGGTGCCCAGTGCCTTGAAGGAAGTGTGCCAGGCGTAGGTCAGCATGACAAACCAGATGACACCCGACATCAGCGAGTAGTAAACGATGACGAAGATGATGACGCAGGAGAGTGTCTCGTTGGAGCTATGGATGAGGTGAGACAAGAGCATCACCAACTGCACAACAGGACAGGGAGGAGGAAGGAGATCTCCATCCCCTTCCAAGAGGCATGGAGGAGCCAGAGGAGACCTTCTGGAACGTGGCAGTGGTGGGATGGGGTTGGAGGTGACACGTACGTGGGCTCTCCCAGCCGCATGGTGCCATCAGCCCGGCACACGATCTCATCACGGGCCCCATCCATGAACTGCGCCAACCAACCGATGCTGCCCACGAAGAAGCAGGCGTTGATGTAGAAGAGGATGACAGCTGGGTAGCGGTTGGAGTTCCTCCAGTCAGCAACAAATGTGGCCTGGTGAAGGAGGACAAAGGGACAGCTTGGAGCCTGGTCCACTTTTGGGGACCCCACCCTATGTCCCCCCATGTCTCACCAGGGTGAAGAAGGTGCAGAAGATGGTGACGGAGCTGAAGGCAGCGATGTAGACGTGCATCTCACGGTGCTCCTTCTCTGTGAAGAGTGGGTTTTGGCACTGGATGCCACAACCCTCCACGTCCTCATACCAGCTCTTGGGGTTGTCTGTCCTCACCAGCGGTGCCTCACACTGCCCCGAGCTGTTGAACTTGATGTTCTGCACCTCGTTCTGCCGGAGGAGAAGTGAGGCCATGAGGAGGAGGCAGCACCCTCATGGTGAAGGGTGTGGACACCAGTCCCCCATGGAGGGCTGGGAACAGACAGCATTTCCCTGCTCCCTGAGAATCATGGAATCAGCCAGGCTGGAAAAACACTGCCAAGGCCACCACTAACCCATGGCACTGAGGCCTCGTCTCCACGCTGTGTGAACACTTGCAGGGACGGTGACTGCAGCCCTGCCCTGGGCAGCCTGTTCCAATGCCTGAGCACCCTCTGGGGAAGGAATTGTTCCTCAGCTCCATCTAAACCTGCCCTGGTGCAGCTTGAGGCCGTTTCCTCTTGTCCCATCCCTTGTTCCTTGGGAGCAGAGCCCAGCCCCTCCTGGCTCCATCCTCCTCTCAGGCACTTGGAGGGAGCCATCAGGTCCCCCCTGAGTCTTCTCTTCTCCAGACTGAAACCCCCAGGTCCCTCAGCCCTTCCCCATCACACTTGTGCTCCAGGCCCTGCACCAGCTCCGTTGCCCTTCTCTGGCCCCACTCCAGCACCTCAATGTCTCTCTTGCAGTGAAGGGCCCAGAACTGAACACAGGATTCAAGGTGCAGCCTCACCAGTGCCCGGTGCAGGGGCACAGTCACTGCCCTAGCCCTACTGCCACACTGGTGCTGGTACAGGCCAGGATGCTGGTGGCTCCTTGGCCGCCTGAGCACAAGCTCATGTTCAGGTCTGTCACTAAATGGGACATGGAGCCCGTGGTGTCCCCCCGTACCGGGCATCCCTCAGGGAAGCGGTCTGTGGTGCACTTGAGGAAGTCTGGCCATCCACGCTCACGCTCCACGATGGTGCATGGTGCCCGGGTGGCCTGGCACAGGGTCTGGCTGGGCAACTCCACCTGCCCGTCCTCGCACTTGGGCATGTAGACAGCACAGAGCAGGGGCTGGATGACGTCCCAGCAGCGCGGGGCGTTACGCAGGCCTGTGGGGACAACGCTGTCACCACCCTGCGTGGACACGGCTGCTGTGGCCCCACACATGGGGATGGGATGGGGCAGGCCCCACCATGCACCCATCAGCTCAGCACCAGGATCCCTCTATGGTACCTCTGGGGTGCTGCTCCCCTGCCACATGGACTCAGCCGCAGTCCCTGCTCTACTGCTGCCCTCCATACTGTACCCCTCCCCGGCCCATTGCTGTACAGGTATATGTACAGTACCCCTTCATGGTCCCCCATTATACTGCTCCCCTCCATACTGTCCCCATGACTGTGCCCATCCCCAGTCCCCTTACCCTCTATACTGTGCCCACATCTGAGCCTCACCTATACTGTACCCAGTCCTCTGCTATGCTGCTCCTCTATACTGTACCTAGTTCCCTGCTATACTGCTCTCTTATATGCTATACCCCATCCCCTATTCCCCACTATACTACTCCCCTCTGTACTGTACCTATCCACAGTCCCCCGCTGTACTGCTCCTCTCTACACTGTACCCACCCCCAGGCCCATTTTATACAGCTTTCTGTCATACTCATGCCCTGTCCCCTCCTATACTGCTCCTTCTCTATATTGTACCCAGCTCAGACCCCTACTATACTGCCCCTGTCTACACTGTACCCATCTCCATAACCCTGCTATACAGATTTCTATACTGTACCCATCCCAAATCCGCCACTATACAGCTCTTCTCTACACTGTACCCATCTTCTGCCCTTACTATAGTTTCCTATACTGTACTCATCCCCAATCCCCTGCTATACTACTCCCCCCATACTGCACCCATCTTTGTCCCATCTCTGTCCCCTACTAGTTTTCTGTATCATACCCTGCTATACTGCTCCCCTCTACTCTGTACCCAGCTGCAGTCCCTTTCCACACACCTTTCTATACCATACTCATCCCTTATCCCCCATTACACATTGCTCCCTTCCATACTGTCCCATCCCCAACCCCCTGCTATACAGCTATCTGTACTGCACCCATCCCCTGTGCCCTGCTATAGAACTTTCCATACTGTATGTGTCCCCCAGTCCCCTGCTATACTGCTCCCGTTTACACTGTACCATCTCTAGTCCCTTTCTATACACCTTCCTAGACTGTTCCCCACTATACTGCTCCTCTCTACGCTGCACCCATCTCCAGCCCCATCCATACAGCCTCCTGTAAGACACTCGTCCCCTATCTCCCACTATACAGCTCCCCTCTGTACTGTTCCCATCCCCAATTCCCTGCTATACAGCTATCTGTATTGCACCCATCCCATCCCCTGCTATACTGCTCCCTCTGCACACTGCACCCATCTCCAGCCCATTCCATACAGCCTTCTGTAAGATACTCATATCTCATCTCCCACTATACAGCTCCCCTCTGTACTGTCCCCATCCCCAATTCCCTACTATACAGTTATCTCTACTGCACCCATCCCCTGTTCTACTGCTCCCTCTCTATACTATCCCCCATTATACAGCTCCCCTCTACACTGTCCCGATCTCCAGGCCCCCGTTACCGAGTTTCCTATGCTGCACCTATCCCTATCCCAATCCCGCTCTGTACAGCCCCCTCCCCATGGCCCTGCTGTGCTTCCCTGCACCGCATTCCACCCCCTGCGCTCCTCCACAGCGCTCCGGGCTCCCCTTTACCCGCCCGCAGCCCCCGCTCCCCGCCAGCGCCCGGCCCGGCGCGGGCCTCGCCCCGGTGCGTCCCGTACCGGACCAGAGCAGGAGCTTCCCGTGCGCCTCCTCCTGCGAAGCCGAGTCCGTAGCCAACAACGTGGAGGTGGCGGCGTAGGGCAGCGCCGAGCCCAGGCAGGACCCGAACCGCAGCTGCTCGCAGGACGCGGCGCGGCGGCAGCGCTCGGGCACGGCCGAAGCGTTGAGGAGCGGGGCGGCGGGGCAGCGGCGGCCGCCCAGGGCCAGCGCCATGCCCAGCGCCAGCGCCCACCGCCACCCGCCGCCCTGCGCCGCCATCCCGGCCCGCACCGGCGCTACGCGGCCCCGCCGCCCGCCATGCCCCGCCGCCCTTTGTTGAGCTCGCCGGGAGGGGAGCGGAGCGGCCCCGCTCCTCCTCCTCCTCCTCCTCCTCCTTCTTCTTCTTCTTCCCCCTCAGCGTAGCGCGGCCCGGCCCGCCACGGCCCCGCGCCCCCCGCCGGGGCGGGCTGAGGAGAGCGGGGCGGGGACCGGGTGTTTGTGAGGGAAAAAAGTGCCTTTTTGTGAGGAAAAAGTTACTTTTTCTTGCAGCGGACAGGGAAGGGGAGGGGTTTTGGGGAGGAAAGTGGAGTTTGAGGCGGGGGGTCGCGCTCGGGGAGAAGGGAAAGGGGTGGTCTCCTGAGGGGGGAAAGTTGGGGCTTGAGGGATAAAGGATGGGGTTTGTGAGGGGAAAGTGGGGTTTGAGGGGATAAAGGATGGGGTTTGTGAGGGGAAAGTGGGGTTTGAGGGATAAAGGATGGGGTTTGTGAGGGGAAAGTGGGGTTTGAGGGATAAAGGATGGGGTTTGTGAGGGGAAAGTGGGGTTTGGAGGGGGAAATGTGGGGGTTTGTGAGGGAAAGTTGGGGTTTGAGGGGGAAATGTTGGGGTTTGTGAGTGGAAAGTGGAGATCTGTGATGGGGAAGTGGGTTTTTGAGGGGAAATGTTGGGTTTGGGGAGGGGAAATGATGGGGTTTTGGGAGGGGAAAGTGGGGTTCTGAGGGGTAAATATTGGGTTTTGTGAGGGAAAAGCTCGTTTTTGGGGAGGGAGAAGGCGCTTTGGGGAGAGGAAGAGCGGCTTTGGAAGGGGAGGAGTTTGGGATTGGAGGAGAAGGGTTTAGTTTTGAGAGAGGAAAGATTTGGGACAGGGGAGCTGATTTTGAGGGGGAAAATTGCTTTTCTAGGGGGATAAAAGTTGTTTTGGAGACAAAAAAAGTTACTTTTAGGGGGTAAAGTTGCTTTCTGGGGCAGAAAAGTCACTTTTCCAGAGGAGAAAAGTTGTTTTCAAGGGAGAGAAGTCACTTCTAGGGGAGGAAAGTTAGATTTGGGAAGGGGAAGCTCACTTTTTTCAGGGGGAGAGTTGCTTTTGTGGAAGAAAAGGTGGCTTTTTGGAGGAGAAAAAGCACTTTGGGGGTGAAAAGTCAACTTTTGGGGACAAAAGGAGCTTTTGGGGAACAAAAGGTGCTTTATTAGGTGAGAAAAGTTTCTTTTGGGGGCAAAAAGTAACTTTTGGGGGGGGTTGAATGTTACTTTTGGGGAGGAATAGCTGCTGCTTAGAGGACAAAAACTGCATTTGGGATTGGGAAGTTACTTTGGTGGGAGAAAAGCCACTTTTGGGGGACGAAAGTTGCTTTTTAGGGAACAAAAGGTACTTTTTTGGGGTGAGAAAAGTTTCTTTTTATTCAAAAAAGTACCTTTTTGGGAAGAAGGTTCCTTTTGGGGAAGAAAAATCGCTTTTTGGAGTGGAAAAGTTGCGTTTGGGAGGGGAGAAAAGTCAGGTTTAGGGGACAAAAGGTGCTTTATTGGGAGAGAAGACACTCTTGGGTGAGAAAAGTTACTTGGAGGGGAGGAAGCTACTTTTAGGGGAAGAAAAATCACATTTGGGGGGATAAGAGTCACTATTGCAGAGGGAAATGTTGGTTTTGGGGGAGAAAAGTTACTTTTGGGGGACAAAAGGCAGTTTGGGGATGAAAAGTCCCTTTTGAGGGCAGGAAAGTTACTTTTAGGGGATGAAAAGTCACTTTTGAGGCACAAAAGTTGCTTTTTCAGGGAGAAAAGTTACTTGGTTTTGAGGGGGAAGTTACTTTTGGGAGAGGAAAAGTCATTTCGGGGTGAAGAAAAGCCACTTTCAGGAGGAGAGAAGTTGCTTTTGGGGGACAAACATCCTTTTTGGAGGGGGAGCAAAGTTTTGGGGGGAGGGGAAAGTTACCTTGGGAAATAAAAGCCACTTTTGTGGGGGAAAAAAGTTGCGTGTTTGGGAGAGAAGTCCCTTTTAGGGGGAGGAAACTATTTGGGGACGGAGACAAGTTATTTTTGGGGAAGGAAAAGTCACTTTTTTGTTGATAAAAGCAACTTCTGGGGGGAGAAAAGTTCCTTTCTAGTGACAAAAGTCCCTCTTGGGGAGAGCAAAGTTGCTTTTGGGGGAGAAAAGTCCCTTTCTGGAGACAAAAGTAAGTTGGGAGGGGGACTGTTCTTGGAGAGCAGCTACTTTTTGGTGAGAACTCACTGTTTTGGGCAGAAAAGTCACTTTTTGGGGGGAAGAAACCTCCACACTCTTTGGAGGGGTTGTCCTTCAGAGAAGTGATCACTTTTGGGGGTGAAATTGCTCTTTTGGGTGCCAAGTCACATTTGGTACAGGGTGAAGTGGCTTTTGGGTGGGGGGAGAACTGCTTTTTGGGGAGAGAAGTTGCTGGGGGGGGCACCTTTTAGAAGGTGCTCTTTGGGGTGAAAACCCCCTTTTTGGGGGGGAACATCATCCAGGGGCAGAGTTTGGGATGGTTTTCCTGCAGCACCCGGACAGGGGATGGCAGAGGGGATCAGGGACAGGCAGGAGCCAGCACTTGGCAGCTCCCGGCCACATCCCGATATCCCGATTCCCCCCGTGACGGGACCACCCAGCCCGAGGAGGAGGAAAAGAACTAAACAGGCAAACCCTCCTCACACAGTTTGTGACGGCTCCAACGAGCAGCAGAGGGTTCTGACAGCCACTCACCCCAGTGGCCCTGTTTTGGATGGGGGACACCCTCAAAAAGGCTGTGGCACCCCAAAGGGTGCAGAAAGCAACAGGTTTGGGGGGGTGTCTTCCACGGGGGGCACCCATGGGTGACAGCATGAGCATAAGGTACCCCAAAAGCCCTTGTGGGGTGGGGGGACCCAGCCGAGCCAACCCCCGCATAGCCCCAGTGATAAAGAGAGTCATGGGATGGGGGGAATCCTGGGATGGGGGTGTCCCATGGGGTGCAGTAATTGGGACAGCCTTAAGGGTGAGGGTCCCTGGTGAGCCCCCGAGATGGGGGTTCCTGGTGGGTACCTCAGTATGGGGGGCCCCCGGTGACACCCCCCTGGTATGGGGGACCCCGGTGTCACTCACCCAGAAGAGCATGTTGAAGAAGAAGAGCACGAACTTCACTATGGGGCTCACGAAGGAGAAATCCTCCTCGGGGGACACCGTGCCCCCCGCCTCCGGACTCTCCATGGCCGAGCCGAGGGGAGCCGAACCGGGCCGAACGGAACCGAACCGAGCCGAGCCGAACGGAGCCGAACTAGGCCGAACGGAGCGGAGCGAACGGAACCGAATGGAGCCGAAAGGAGCCGAACGGAACCGAACCAGTCCCCTAGCCTACAGACCTCGCAGCGCTAGGGAGCACCAGGGCCCGCCTCCTCCTTCGGCCGCTCCGCTCATTGGTCCGTCCAGCCTATTCTGCTTTCCTATTGGTTCTTCGCACCGTCGCTCAGCCGCCGCCGGGTACTCACACACAGACCCCCGCCGCACCTGTTCACGGGTTAAAGGGCCAGCGCACCTCCGCCTTAAAGGGCCAGCGCACCCTGTTTGTCCATCATTGCTGACTGACAAGCTGAATCCCTCCCGGCTGATCCCGCAGCCCCAAAACTGCCCGAATCATGCTGTCCCTGCCCCGGAGACCCCCGTCCAGGCAGGATGGCTTTGTGACAGCCCTCAGGGGGACACAAGGGGACAGCTGGGGTTCAGGAAATCCTTCAGTCCTGAAACGCACCCAGATGGGGAGATTTGGGAGTTCCCTGAAAGGGCAAAGCCGAGCCTCTGACCCCAGATTTGCAGAAATCACCCCAAACCCAACAGTGCTGATGCTCTGTCCCCAGTGACCTCACAGACGTGGGGGATTTGGAGGCCAAAGCCTGGCACTTCTTCTCCCTACTGCTAAAATCTATGAGCTGAGTTTAAAATGGGAAGTTTTGGTGGTTTTCTTCCCATTTCCCTTAATTTGGTGTGTCTGCTGTGTCACACACCACACACACACACCCGTTGCCCCATCCCCAAGGCACATGGGACGGGTCCTCTTTGCCTAGGGGAGAGTCCCCTCACATTGTTATCTATTATCCTATTTACTATCCTATCTATTACTGTTACTCTTCTCCCCCAGGGTTTATTAGGGCTGGAAATCCCCAAGGAGCAGCCGCTGGTGCCATCATGGCCCTTCCCAGAGGAAGGACAGAGCTTGGGGCAGAGGAACTGAAACCAAAACCCCTCTTCTTGCTCTTAGGGTCACCAAGGCCACCAGTGATGGCATCCACCACATGTCACCAGGGAGCCACTCCCTGGCCCCACCACCCCAGGAGGTGTTTGCTATGGATGCTGACGGAAGAACCCCCCATGGCCCCAGAATGCCATGAGTGATGGCTGTGGGTCTCCAAAGAGCTACCTCGGACAGCCCATGAGGTCCTGGTGGGGCTGAACGTACCCTGGTCCTCACAGCACTGGTTCTGCCCCTGTGAGGAAGATGAAGGTGCCCGTGTTGGCACAAGGAGGCACTGTCCTCTCATCACATCTATCAGTTCATCCATCAGACCTGTACCTCCACATGTGATACCTGTGTACCCCTCAGCAGATCTGTGTGTCTACCCATTGTATTTATGTGTCCGCCCACCAGATCTCTGTGTCCATCCATCAGATCTAGATCTCCGTTCCCAAGGAACAAGGGATGGGACAAGAGGAAACGGCCTCAAGCTGCACCAGGGCAGGTTTAGATGGAGCTGAGGAACAATTCCTTCCCCAGAGGCTGCCCAGGGCAGGGCTGGAGTCACCGTCCCTGCAAGCGTTCACACACCGTGGAGACGAGGCCTCAGTGCCATGGGTTAGTGGTGGCCTTGGCAGGGCTGGGAACGGTTGGGCTGGATGAGCTTAAAGGGCTTTTCCCACCTGGCTGATTCTGTGTTTCTATGACTCTGTGTCCACCCGTCAGATCCGTACATCCCCGTGCCCGTGAGGCCGGGAGCTGGCTGGCCGTGGGGCAGGGCGCGCCTGGACACACGTGTGTGCCTGTCCATGCGTGTGCCTGCACACGTGTGTGCCCAGGGGCGGGCGCTGCTGCGCCGCTGAACGGACGGGTCTGTGCACCCCGCTGCGGGAGGGAGGGACCGGCTGCGGGGGTGGGCCGGGACCGGGATAGGGCCGGGACCGAGAGGGGACACGGGGGCTCACGGACAGAAACGCCCCGCTGCCGCCACCGCGCTGCGGGACACGGGCAAGGACGGGGGCGTGGCCAACGCAGAGGGGGCGTGACCAGGGGCCGTGATCACGGATGTGATTGGATGGGGCGGGGACATGGGCGTGGCCATTCCTTCCCGCCGTCGTCAGCGCGCCTCTGCGGGCGCGGGGTTTCGGGGGAGCTTGGGGACACCCCCGTCGACCGGGGCCCCCACATTCCTTCCCAGCATCGAGACCCCCCATGTCCCCCCGGACCCCCGTGTCCCATCCCCACCCCCCGGGACCCTCACAGCCCTTCCCGACCCCAGCTCCCCCTTTCCCCATCCCTGCTCCCGGACCCCTATACCCTGCTGGAATGTGGGGTGCAGGCAGGGGTGCCCCTGTAAGGAGGGGTCATCCCCCTCTCCAGAGCAATGGCTTTATTTGGGGACTGCCCCTCCACACCCCCAGCACCCATCCTGCCCCCCACCCAGGGTCCTTGTCCCCCCAGATCCTATTGAAGGAGCCGGGGCCGCATGCTGTCCTGGGCACACCGGAGCTGCTGGGGCTGGGGTGGCCTCAGACGCTGGAACTTTTCATGTCACCCAGAGCCACCGGTGCTGCTCCTGCTCCTCCTCCTCCTGCTCCTGCTCCGCCCACCCGCGATGGGGGTGATGGTGAGACGGGACCGTGGGACCCCCATGTGCCACTCATGGGTGCCCCACGCAGAGCTGCTCCCACCCACATCCCTGTCCTGTTTCCGTCCCCATCCCAGTTCCCATTCCTAATCCCATCCTGTTCTGACCCTTGTCCCCATTCCCGTCCCTATCAGCATCCCCATCTCATTCCTATCCCAGCTCATCCCCATCCCAATCCCATCTCCACCGAGCCCATCTCCATTCCCATCCTGTCCCCATCCCAATCCCATCCCATTCCCATCCCTATCACAGGTCCATCCCCATGCCAATCTCATCCCCATCCTGTCCCCATCCAAATCCCAGCCTGCTCCCATCCCCATCCCAGTCTCATCAATATCCTAATCCCTTCCCCATCCCTGTCCCCATCTCAGCCTGTCCCCATACCCATCCCTATCCTGTTCCCATTCATATTGCAGCGCATCCCCATCCCAATCTCATCCCCATGCAAATCCCGTCCCCATCTCTGTCCTCATCCCATCCCGCCCCAGTCCCTATTCCAATCCCATCCCTATCCCGACCCTGACCCCATTCTAATCTGTCCCCATTCCATCCCAACCCCATCCCTGTCTCCTCCCCATCCCAGCTCTACCTTCACCAGGCAGCCAGGATCAGACCACTCCCCCTTCCCCAAATCCCACGCCAACCAAAGGGGATGTCCCCAATGGACACACACACACACACCCCGCCGCAGCACCCACCTCGCCTCCCGCAGCACCCGCAGCGGCAGCACATCACCACCCCGATGGCCACCGCCGTGAAGGCAGCCACGAGGACGCACACCACCGTGATCATGTCCGGCTCCGCGCCCCTGGGCACCTCTGCGGAGCATCACAGGGACAGGATGGGACCCCCCAGCCTGTGGTACCCCCAAAGTGCAGATCCCACCCAGCGGCTGCTCCGTGTGCTGCCCCCCCGCCTCCCCAGCACCAGCCCCACTCACCGCCCGCCGTGGGCTGCAGGACCAGGCTGCAGAGGAGCTGCGGGGGGGCAGCACCGGCCACGTAGCAGGAGTAATTCCCGAAGTCGGGATCGCTGAGGTTCCTCAGGAGCAGGGCCAGGCCGGCGCCCTCCGGCCCCCCGGCGCAGAAGGACACCCGGCCCTTAAAGCGGTTGTCGGGCTCCTCTGGTGGGCTCCAGCCCGGCTCCGGTGGGAGCCAGCCCAGGCGGTGCCGGAGGACGGGAATGGGTTGGTGGGTCCCATTGTGGTGGGTGCAGCTGAGGGTGACCCCCCGCAGGTGACCCCAAGGCTGGGTGCTGCAGGGCAGGCAGGCGTCATCCCCAATGGACACGGTGATGGTGACGGGGGACTGGTCTGTGGGGTGGGGGAACACAGTGGGGTCACACATCCCATGATCCAGTCAACCAGGAGCCCTGGGATGGGGATATGGGGTGGGATAGAGCCAGATACCCCATGGGATAGTGAGGTAGAGGTGTCCCTGTTAGATCCTGGGTGCTGACACAGGACTGGAGGGACACAGTGGGATCACCATGCTCCAGGGATGGGCATTTAAGGGTGGGATGTAGCAAGACACCCCATGGGATAGTGGGACACTGGGGACCCTGTTGGATCCTTGGTGCTGGCACAGGGGCAACATTGATGCTGGGTCCTGGCACAGGGTTGGGGGGACACAGTGGGGTCACCCATCCCATGCTCCAGTACCACCAGGAGCCCAGATATGGGGATATAGGGGTGGGATGGAGCTGGACACCCCATAGGATAGCAGGACACATTGGATCCTGGGTCCTGGCACTGGGCTGGGACAGGGGACCCATTAAAGCCAGGTTCTGGCACATAGGGCTGAGCAGCGGCTCCTGCCAAGGCCGAGAGCCCGGGGATGCCAAGAGCCGCCCCATGAGTCACCACCATGCAGGGAACGGCCCCCCTGCCTGCAGCCGCCTCGCCCCTGCCCCTGGGACTCCATCGTGCCCACATATGGGGGTCCTCAGGGAGGGGTGATGGGAAGGCTCTGTCCTGGACCCCCCACCCCACTGCTCGGGGGTACCTGCAGCAGCCAGGGCCCAGAGCACCACGATGGGGACCAGCACCATCCTGCCGGCATCCGGACCCACCACCTGAGAAACCGAATGTGTCACCCCCATCAATGGGACACCCCGAAACCGGATCCCCACGGTGGAGGGGGGACCTGCTGGGGCAGGCAGGGGCAGGGTACGGCTGGGGAAGGCAGGGGAGGTGCTTGTAGAGAAGGGTCTGGGGCAGCTGGAGAACAGGGTCTGGGATAGTTATAGGGCAGGGTCTGGGGTACATATAGGACAGGGACTGGGGCAGCTAATGGGCAGGGGATGAGGTATTTATAGGGGAGGGTCTGGTACACATACAGGGCAGACGCTACAGCAGCTATAGAGAAGGGTCTGAGGTACACAAAGGGCAGGGTCTATGGGGTACATATAGGGGAAGGTCTGTGACAGTCAGATAGCAGGAGCTGGGGCAGCTATAGCGCAGGTCTGGGGCAGGTCTATAGGGGTGGGTCTGGGGCAGGTCTATAGGGGTGGGTCTGGGGTATCTATAGGGCGGTACAGGGCCGAGCAGTGGGCAGCAGCTCCCGCCCCAGGGATGCTCTGGGGTCCGGCAGCTCCCGTCACGGCTGGGGAGCGGAGCGGGGCGGGGGGGGGGGCACACGCGGAACCGCTCCCGCTCCCGCCCCCGCCCCTCACCGTGGTGTCCGGACGCGCCCGCTCTCCGGCGTCGCGCTGAGCCCCCAGAGCCGCGGCGGCGCCACCGTCCGGCCCCGCCCCTTCATGTACAGGACCCGCCCACAGCCACCGCCCGGGCCCGCCCCTCCACGGCCAAGCCCCGCCTCTCGCAAGATTGAACCACGCCCACAGGCGCAGTCCGAACTCCCCGAGGCCACGCCCCATCATTACAAAGCCCCGCCCCTATCGGCATAGGCCACGCCCACATATACGGCCCGGACCCCACCCCGTCCTTGCCCCGCCCACCACGGGTGAGACCCGCCTACTGCTACCCGTGGCAGGGGGTGACCGCTCCAGTGTGTCCGTGACGGGAGAGACACGTCACGTTACGTCACACGACGTCATCACAGTACGTCACATCACCTAATACAACGTAATCGATACGATATGATACGATACGAGATGAGACTAGACTCTGACAGAATAAATGGGACACATAAGAGCAGAACAGAATAAATCACATCTTTATTACAGATAACCCCAAAATGACCTCTAGGAAAGCAAGGAGATACAGATACATGCATAAATATATAGATAAGAAGATATAAATGTGGCCATTTATATCTTATATATATTTAACATTTAATGTAATAAATATTTAGATTTAATTTTAATCTATAAAGATATCTATATTTAATCTATACAGATATAACAAGAATGAAGTAAATATGAATGTATTACAAGTTATTAGGTAATTGCAGCTGGTGATGTAAGTGGATACAACACTTCCAAAAACATACAGCACCAATCTGATTCATATTACATACAACAGCAGAATATTTCCATTTTCATATTGAATACATAATAGAAAATACTTATATTCTTAGGGTATAAAATATATAATATTTATATGCTCTAAAATTAGATCAGAACAGAGCAGAATAGTATCACATCTGTCTACTAAAGTCAGTGCAAAATTACCCCAGGAAAGCAAGTGTGTGTATATAGACATATAGATATAGGTATAGATATATACATACAAATATATATAGAGAGATAAAGATACATGTAGATATATAGATAAAGATGTAGATATAGATACAGATATAGACCTAGAGATAGAGAATAAATATATACATATTGCAAGTTATTAGGTGATTCAAACTGGTGGCATTAATTACAGAACTGTACAGCAACAACCCGTTGCATGGTATATACAAAAAGTATTATATTGATATTTTCACACTGTATGCAAAATAACATATTGAGGATATGATATTACAATGTAAAAGATGCAATATAATGAGATAGAATGTATAATATAATGTAACGTAGCATAATGTAACATTATAATATAATGTAATAATGTATTATAATATATAAAATAATGGTGGAATTCAAATAGAATAGAGTAGAAAATAATAATGTCACATCTCTACTGCAAGTCACTACAAAATTAGCACTAGGAAAGCAAGCGGATACATATATATGTGTATATACAAAACCAAGAATAAAGCAAATATCAGCAGATTATAAGTCACTAGATAATTGCAGCTGGTGATGTAAGTGGATGCAACGCTGCCAAAAATACACGATAATAATTTGTTGTGTGTTTCAGGCAGAAATTAGAATCTTGGTCTTTTTATATTGCATAGAACATACACAGTAGTTGTATTTTTCTTGTATGTTATATATTATATAGTAGATAGTATGTAGTATACACTATATATTTATCCATCACTGCCAGGGATGGAGCATTCACAACTTCCTTGGATAACCTGTGCTGGTGCCTGATGGGTTGATGGCCTGATTGAATCAAGAGAAGGAAGGAGCATGATTGTCATCACTGGATGTGATCTGATCATTATACAACAACGATCACGAGAGGGAAAGGAAATCAAAGGAGTTTTCCCTCAAACTCCTCTCCTTCGGGTGCTCCTGGTGGCACACACATTGGTTTCGGCTCCAGGCTCATTGCCAAGGAGGAGGATGAGGGATAAGGTCAGACCAAGGATCTGGGGGAGACAACCTGAGTAACAGCAGATGGTTTCACTGCCCACTGCTGGGGAAGGAGATGCTCATTTCTCCGACAGCTGCCTACCTCCCGTGTGGAGCTGCAAGGAGGTGTTTGGAAGGAGAATGGTCTTCTTGTGGAGATGAGCCGGGATGGTTCACCCAGCAGGCAACTGGTGATCCTCATTCTTTACTATGGAGCGGTGCTCAGAGAAGCTGTGGCTGCCCCATCCCTGGCAGTGTTCAAGGCCAGGTTGGAGACAGGGGCTTGGAGCAAGCTGCTCTAGTGGAAGGTGTCCCTGCCTGTGGCAGGGGGTTGGAACTGGATGAGCTTTAAGATCCCTTCCAACACAAACAAGGCTGGGATTCGACGATTCTATGATCATTTATACCTGAAGTCCAGGTTCCACCACAGTTGTCATCAAAAGCTGTCCAGATCGGCCAATGAAGACCATCATAGTCTACCAGTTGGCGAAAGCAGTGACCGTACCATCAAGATAACCATCATACAGGTGGTTGAGGTTTGGGGCTCACAGGTCCAAGAGCCAACTCGCAGTTGAGTTTTAAGCAGTCCCTTCAGGAAAACCATTGTGCTGGGGATGATGAGGGATGTTGGAGAGGCACCACATTCCTTGGGCTTCAGCCCATCTCTGTCCATCTTTAGAAACAGGATCCATTTTCTGATGGGGTAGAAACCATGGTCCTAATCCCAAACCTCCCATTTATTGGGAGTCTATGTTACAAATACTTGCCAGGAGGACCACAAGGATCTACCACCCCTCAGGTTGTCCTAAGGTGGGCACAGAGCCGCCTGACCATTGTGCCATTGGAGATGGGGAGGGTGAGTGTGCTCCTCGAGAGACCAACACCAACGCTTTCAAGGTCCTTTGGACAAGGGATCTGCTTGATGGTTCCACCTGGATCCATGATCCATGCCCTAGACTTGCATCATCAGACCAAGCCATCACGTCCTGGGTGTCCTCTTTGACCCATCATGGTGCGCTGTGAGCATCAGCATCTTCTGGATTGTGCTTGGCTGTGTAATTCCCTGGGGAGGAGAAGAATTCCCCCGTCTTTCAAGGATGGAGAACAGGGTCCATAACTTAAGGGTGCATCTCCAGCGGTGGCTCCAGTATCCAGCAGGGAGGAAGCCAGCAGAGCTTCATCCCATGGTGACCACCGCCATGGAGAACATTGCCACCCCAAGGTGCACCCAGACCATATAGAAGTGAACTGGGCTCTATGGGGAGCTCATTGCCACAGTCCCGATGGCATCCTCCTTCCATGACTCCTCCATGTAGTCTGAAGAGGTCTATGTAGAGGACTCAATAGAGGTTGGGTCATGGCTTGATGGATACCCCCTTCCCTTCTGGATGGGCTGGGATGTGGTTACACCTTCTCCAGACCCTACCAGCAGAGTCCATTCCCTTAAATACCACCCGGATGCATTTCCAATGCGATTTGTTGGGATTTGATCAGGATTTGTCACTCAAGTGCCCCATGAACTTCTGCTCTGGGATTTGGTTTATCCTTCATGAATATATTGATATAATAACTGGGATGGATCCCAAAGTTTCTGGATGCAGGAAGCTGCTTGACCGGCCAGTCCCAAACCCTCTTATAGAATCATAGAATAGTTAGGGTTGGAAAGGACCTTAAGATCATCCAGTTCCACCCCCCCTGCCATGGGCAGGGACACCTCACACTAAACCGTCTCCCCCACTCTTCCTGCAGGAAACCCCATAAATGGCTCCATTTTGGGTCTTGTTCCTTCCTTTTTGTGCCAGATTATTTGGTTTTGACAAAGGGGCGCCAGTCCCCCACTGGAGGTGGAATTCGAGTCTGGATCAGCCCCACATCCATGTTTGGAGTTGGAACATGGGCCTGGAGGCAGCTCAGTCCTGGGAACGGGGGATCTGGCTCACTGTGTGTCCCCAGTGGGACATGGGTCTGGATTTGCTCTTTCTCATCATCTGGCTGGACACATTGATGGGAACGAGTCAAACCCAGACCCAAAGATCCCACTGGATGGCGAAGGGCTGGTGACTCCGGTGCTGTGTCCAGTATGGAAACACCACATGGACCCACCATGAGGGGTTTGCTGGGGAGGGGGACATAAGGGAAGCAGGAAAATCAGCATCAGTCCCAATGTGGGGCTTCTGCTCACTCCATATCCCTGGAGTCAAAGCCTCATCCCTTGGGACGAAGCAGAGCCAAAGCCTGGGGTTGCTGCAGCAGCTCCTTCACTCCAAGGGGACCTGGTCTGGACCTACAAGTGCAACCCCATCTTCTTCCCTGGGGTCACATCCCTGCAGATCCTGTTATTCCTCCCCAGTTTTCAGTGCGATGAGGGCTCTGGGGAGGAGATCTCGCAGGTCGGTCCCTTCCCTAAAACAGGGAGAGAAGCACCTGTGGAGCTGAGGTGGCCCTATGGGGCTGGGGGGCTCATGGGAGGCCACTGCAGGAGATAAGGCGACCCCAGGGGCTGGGAATAGAGTTGGGAAGGAGACTGGGATCACCCTGGGCTGGGCTGTTGGGAACAGTGGGAATGGTGGGGGCACAGTGGGCCAGGCTGGGATGGGGGCCTGGGGGTGGTAGGACTCCAGTGGAATGAGGTGACAGGGAGTGTGGGACCCCAGTGGGGTGGGGTGATGGGGCTGGGATGGGTGATGGGACTTGGGGCGGGGGGGGTGGTGTGTGGAGGAACAGGACTGGGGGTAGTGGGGCCCCAATGGGATGGGGTAATGGGACTGGGGGTGTGGGGGCACCCAGTGGGACTGGGAGGAACCTCCCTGGTGGAACCTCCTTGGGCCTGGGGGAGGCATTGGGATGGGGTGACAGGATTGGATGGCAGTGGGTACCTGGTGAGAGGGCGTAACAGGACTGGGGGAGCTGTGGCATTCCAGTGGGACAGGGAGATGGGGCTGCAGTAGGGCATTGGGATGCAGTGATTGAACAGTGAGGGGGGATGTGGGACCCCGATGGGATGGGGTAATGGGACTGGGGTTGTGGGGGCACCCAGTGGGATGGAGAGATGGGATTTGGGGGGTGTGACATGTGACAGGACCCTGGTTGCATGGGC